CCCTATTGCATCTGTCTGAAAGATTTCCTCAATAACAGAATTCAAATCCCTTGTCCTTTGGATTACAAAAAACCCTAAATTTGCAACCTCCTTCTGTTCAATAAGCCTCCCAAGATGTCCTTTGTTCTTTACAGTCCTGCATGTTTTACAATTCCCTCTTAGTCCTCATTCTTTTGGAGAGAGAGCAGACTTAGCCTCAAAGCATGCAACTCTCTCCTGAAACAACCTTACATGCCTTTACATCCTCAAAAAGCTTTCAAACCTATATCTGGGTATGGAGACAATAAGGACTGCAGATGCTGGAAGCCACAGTCTATAGATGTAAGGCTGGAAAAGCACAGCAGGTAAGTCACCGTTTCATGCCAAAACGTGACGAAGGGTTTCGGCCTGAAACATTGACTTACCTGCTCTTCGGATGCTGTCTGACCTGCTGTGCTTTTTCAGCCTCACACCTATAGACTATATCTGGGGTATGCTGCACACATTTAAGGTAAAATGACGAGAACGACAAGAAGTTTAAAATAAACATATCTCAGATCAGTGGTGGGAAATCCAGGGCTTTAAACATATATTCAAACACTCATGAACCTTTAAGGCAGATGTCAGATTGGGAGTGATTTATAACAAGGGGGTAGGCAATGGCCTAATGGCATTAATCACTGGACCGTTAGTTCAGAGACCCAGATAACATTCTAACCCGGGTTCGAATCCCACCATGGCAGATAGTGGAATTTGAATCCAATAAGTATCTGAAATTAAGAATCTAATGATAACCGTGAATCCATGGTCAATTGTCGGAAAAACCCATCTGGCTCACTAATGCCCTTTAGGGAAGGAAACTGCCATCCTTACCTGGTCTGGTCTACATGTGACGTCAGACACACAGCAATGTGGTTGACTCTCGACTGCCCTCTGGGCAATAAATGCTGCCTAGCCAGCAATGCTGTCATCCCATGAATGAATTTAAAAAGTGGGACTGTTCGATTGACCATCTGTGGGTGATGTACCAGTGGGAGGCTAGTGTGTCCCAGAACTGTAACCAAAAAAAGTGCTGCCTTCAGGAATCGAAGTCAGAGGCCTACAAAACACCAACGAGTCTGCGCCAGTTTAAAACAACCTAACTATTCCAATCCATTTCCCACCACTTAGCCCATAGCCTTGTATGCCTTGGCATCACAAGCGCACATCCAAATACTTATAACGTTTAAGGATTTCTGTCTCTGCCACCCTTAAAGGCAGTGAGTTTCAGATTCCCACCGCCCTTGGTGAGAAAGCTTTTCCTCACGTCCCCTCTAAACCTTCTTCAACTTTACATTAAATCTACGCTTCCCCCTTCACCCCACCTGGAGTCATTTGTCCCTCCAAAAAGGAGGGACATTCCCTCCTGTCTACCCTATCTGCAGTAACATCCCTCTTGTGTATTCCAGAATTGCACACGATATACTAGCTGTCTAAACAACATTTTATACAGTTGTAGCATCACCTCCCTCCTCTCAGGCCAGCTAATAAACTTCAGGTTTTGAAATCTACATTTCAAAATCTAATTTCTGTCCTCTAATAATTCTTAAAAAGCATATGATCTTTTTCTTACTATTAGAACTGGAAAATAAAAAAAGCAAGGAAAAATTGGATTTGCTGCAAGCCTATCATCTTACGTAGATGGAAGTACGTGGATGACCTTATTTAACATAAAACCATTCTTCCAACATGCAACCACAATGTAAAAGTCTACACAAATTTAAGATGTGCTTTCCCCCACAATAGGCAACAGGCTGGAACAATATTGCCACAAATTCATAATCAGTGCACCATCAAAAACAGTTCAACTACTTTTTTTGTTAAAAGAAAAGATTAAAAACAGGATGTGGGCATCAATGGCTAGGCCAGCATTCATTGCCCATCCTCAGTTACCCAGAGGGCAGTTAAGAGTCAACAACATTGCTGTGAGTACGGAGTCACATGTAGACCAGACCAAGTAAGGATGGCAGTTTCCTTCCCTAAAGGACATCAGTGAACTAGATTTTTTTTTCTGACAATTGACCATGGTTTCATGGTCATCATTAGACTTTTAATTCCAGATTTTTATTGAATTGAAATTCCACCATCTGCTATGGTGGAATTCAAATTCAGGTACCCAGAACATTACTTGGGTCTGCAGATTATTGCATTATTAACGCAAGCAGCCACAAACAAAACAAAAAGTGGGTGCTGAAAGGATAGTTATTTTACCTGTGGTGGTGACCTGCTGTGTTTCCCAGGGCAAATTTACACGTAACCCAGCAAAGATTGCTGGCCATTATTAGAAGCTTAAAAAGGCTAAGTTAGGTTTTATAATTCCAAACTCTCAAATCTTCCCTCAGCAGCTGCAAAGACAGACCAGTAAACCAGACAGCATTCACAATCACTTACTTTCATGCACAGAACTTTTCACAATTAAGTGGTTTTCCAAACATATGAACAACCTCCAAATGTACAAAATAGAAGCAAGAATAGGCCATTGAAGCCTCAAGCCTGCTCTGCCACTTGAAAGGATCGTTAATGATCTGATTTTGAAATCTCAACTCCACCTTCACGATGAGCCTCTATACCCTTTAGCTCCCCATCAATCAACACCCTGAATATATTCAAAATGGAGTTGCCCAATGACTCCGGCTCCATTACTCACTGGGATAGTGAATTCCATAGGCAAGTTGCTCGCTGAAAAATTGATCCTATCTTGGTCTTACACAGGATATCCTAATTTTTAAAACACAGTCGCCCAGTTCTAGGCTCTCCCAAAGGAGAAATATCCTTTCAGCATCCTTGTTTCCTACAAATTTAGTAAGAATTATCTCACTTTTGGCTTCAAGTATTGGTTTAGTTCAGTTGACATCCAAATCAAAGTTAGAGTTCAATACACACTCCAGTATGTAACCTAAAATGACACTTCAGAGCACTGTTACAGCACTTCAGACGAGAGGTTATATCAAAGCCCCATTTGTCTGATAAGGTGGACATTAAAACTCTCATGCATCTATCAGAAAGGACAGCAAGAAGTTCCCCTATTATGATCAACATTTCATACTGAATTTACTTCAAAAAAAATAAATCTATGAATCATGTACTTCACTTGTTATGTGTGCAATCTTGAGTAAAAAGGGGTGACATCCCAATGCAGTACTGTTGGAGGTGATGTTAAACCTTAGTCCACCTGTGTTTCAGTGGACACAAGAAACTCATAGCATTAGTCTAAAAAGAAACAAGGGCAGCTAATTTATCTATCCTCTGTGTTCTGGTCAAAATTTAATCCTCAAATCACCTCACAGACAGATTAACTGGTCACAGTTACATGGTTGCTTGTGGGAGCTGTTTATGTGCAAAATGACTGTCACATTCGTACGATACAATACTGAAGTCTTTTAAAAATACCCGATTGCTTGGAAAGTATTTTGACCTATCTGGTGATTGGGAAAAAGCACTCTCTGAACGCAAATCTTTATTTTCAAAGTAGCAACTTCACATTTCAAAACTAATTGAACTCGATTAGGCTGCTTTGGGGACATGGTAGAGAGAGTTAAAAAGAAGTTATTTTTAAATAGCATATGTAGAAAGAAAAATATGTAGAAAACAGCATTAGACCACAATAACCATACCACAGAGGTCAGGCTTTTTAATTTATTTTAAAAAAAAACTTGTTCAACATTAAATCCTATCCCCTATCTCTGGGAATAAAAATTAAAACTAATGATTCACAGATTGCTGATTTGATAGATTGCAAGAGACACAAGGTATATCCCAAGACAGAGCAGACAGCAAAGGCATGCTTCCCCCAAAAAGGAGGGCAATCACCTGGGGAACAGTTTTAAGGCATTTGGTAGAAGGATTATATACAGGACATATGGAAAATTCTTTTCACCCAGAGTGGAGTGTGCCTGAAATGTACTGCCCAAATTGCTGAAGGTAAAAATTCTCAACTCATTTATAAAAAGGTGCCTGGATCAATACCTGAAGGGCTGTAATCTGCAAAGCAATGGACCAGGTGTTGTAAAGTGGGACTGAAATGGGCAGCTAGTTTATTCAGCTGGCACATACAACAGGCGGAATGTCTTCTTTCTGTGCTGTTCTATGTTTCCTTTCCAGTCACCCCATCTCAGATGCCATTGAGAACACAAAAACATTTCACAGGGATTACGTACCTGCACAGGCAAACAACAGTTTTGATAGTAAAATTCTCAGTTTCTCTCCAGAGAGGAGACACAATGGAGCTTTTTTGGATAAAAGCTTTGGAAGAACAGATAGTCATGGCAATACTATATTGGCTTACAGTAAGAATAATAACAGACTTCCACAAATCATTCCAGTGAATGAGTTGCTCAGTTTGTTTACACAGGAGACAAACAGTTGAGATTATCTTTTGCAGATTTATTTTATTTACTTATTTATTTTAGTTACACCATAAGTTTTACGAATTGAGAACAATAACCTTCTGCAAATAGAATATTAACACTAAAATGAAGCCTGGTGCTTTAATGTTTGGAAGATAACATAAGCAGTTTTAAATGTTTGCAGGTGTTGAGTACTAACTGAGGATTTGCTTCTGTTATAGTCAAAGTGCTCTCATGGTGCAGTGGTACTGTTCCTACCTTTGAACCAGGAGGCCCAAGTACAAGCCCCATCTCCTCCAGAGGCGTGACATAACATTTCTGAACAGGCTGATCTGTAAGTAGCTTGTGTTATGGTCAATAGGGACAGACTGAAATTGTGGAGACTAAGTTAGGCATGTTTATAGTATGCTCATCTTTAAATAAAAGCATTTAAAGGTTAGGTTGAGTTCTATGCATCAACTGTAGACTTTCTGGAATAGACCACAACTGCCATGGCAAAGATTTTCAATCTAGTTCAGGTTGGAAGGGGTCCTTTACTCCATCCACTCATCTTTCCGCAGGAATCTATAATGCCCACCCATTGCAATTTTGAACTTCCTCTTGAATGATTGAAGAATATTTGCCTTGGGTATTTACCTGGATGGCCATTTGAAATACTGAACATTCTTTGCAAGAAGGGTTCCATGATCAAGTATGGAAAAACATGGATCCAAGTCAATTCCAATCCATCTCACTTGGTCAGGGACAAGTCCCAGTTGCTGCCAAAATGGTTAAAGAAGGAATGCTTGAAAGTACTTGGATGCGTCTGCAGAATTGTAACTTTGTTGTGTTCTGGATGCCAACACTGGAAGAGATTTGTAAAGAATTGAGTGCTGACACTTGCCACCCAGACTTCAGGCTCTGGTTCACCCCTGTAAGATACTGTGGATGATAATACCAAGTGATTTAAGAGGGGGCATATTTTTAAAGTGAAAGGAGAAAGATTTAAAAAAGGACATGAGGAACAACTTTTTTTTTTTTTTTTTTAAACACAGCAAGTGGTTTGTATACGGAATGCACTGCCAGAGGAAGTGGCAAATGCAGGTACAGTTATAACATTAAGGAAGGTTTGGACAAGTACACAAGTGGGAAACGTTTAGAGGGATATGGCAGGCAAGTGGAACTAGTTTGGTTTGGGAACATGATCAGCGGGGACTTGTTGGACCAAAAGGTTTATTTCCATGCTGTATGACTCTAAGATTTGCTTCTTGCTAGCCTACAGTCATTTTTCATCACTGAAATTGTGTTTCTCGGTACAGCAGTGCTTTCAACCTCACACTTTAAAGGCAAAAGCTTTTGCTCACAATTCAATTCTCCAGCACTTCACTTCAACTCAGCAGTCCTTTGCCCCTTGTATTTGAGAGCTTGGATTTTTTTCTTTACGCAGTAGAGCCTGAACATCGTACCCAGATCATACTACTATACACCTTTAACACAGTCGCATCTAACTTTTTTTAAAAACTGGTTTGTCAACTGCAGCGTTCTTGATGTCAGGTTTCTTGATGTCTACTCCACAATAACTAGTGAAGCGAATGGCACAAACAATATTCACTTAATTCATTTAAATACATTCTTTCTTCCCATGTGCAATACCTTTGGACTTGCTTTGCACTGACTTTCACCAGCAATAATTCAAGTTGCACATCCATCCTCTAATACAACATTAGCTAGCTATCCATTACAGTCCCTTAAATTTGTTTAAGGTATTTGTATTGCCACTTATTGATTGTATCAAAACTATTTCAACATTTCCTCTTATTTTGAATGTTAGTAACACATGTAGTTAACCAAATTTCTTGCATTCTTGAAAACAGATTTCCTACTCTTATTCCCAACTCAAATGGCTCTCACTTTCATCGAATCCCTGCAAAATCAGATTTACTTCATACTGCTGATTACTCAACTCCCACCCCACTTAACATTCTTATGCAAAAACCACAGATTCGCAGGTGTTTTATTGGTTTTGACTCTCAAACAAACACTTGTTTATTATTAAAATCAAGTTTAGATTCTAAATCTCACGTAAAACTCCCACTTTCAATTTTTGTAATAATTGATATAGTTTTCGCAATGTACCAGTTTCTGAGATTATAGCCCATTAAAAAGACAATGGGGAAAAATTTACACGGTGAAATAATGGAGTGCATTCAAGGTTTTGATCTATTGTTTAGATTCAGAACATTGGGTCTTTAGCTGTACTAGATTCATGGCAGAATTTCTATCATATAAAAAGAAACTCGAGTTCAGTACAACTTTTCAGAATACTACTTGCCTGTCAGTTGTATCATTGCCTTCATTATCAAGCACGGAATCTTAAAAGCAGCATGTGTTCAGTCATGGGTAACAAATCATAAGTCAATAACCACAACAGAACATATCAACTGACAAGAGAACTTGAAATGAATTCATAAACAAAAGAATTCAAGACTCTAAACATTAATTAGAAACCGACCATTTTTGTGTTTTAGGTCTGATAAACATTCTATTCCAACTCCACAAAATGATGAATCTTAGATTTCATGCTTGAAATTCTAGTTTGTGTATGTAACTGTGCAGATCTTCTCACTGTCTTTCGTTTGTTGTAAGCTTGAAGAACTGGTATATGCACACTGCATGTGCATTGATTTAAAAAAAGGACACCAGGGCAAATTAAAAAAAAATACAGAGAATGGTTAGTGCGTCAAATGAACTGCCAGAGGAAGCGGTGGATGCAGGTATAGTTGCAATGTTCAAAAAACATTTGGATAAGTACATGAATATGAAAGGTTTGCAGGGATATGGGCCAAACACAGGCAGGTGGGACTAGTTTAACCGTTTGTTAACGGTTTCCATGCTGTCTGACTCTGCAAGACTTGTATCTTGTTTCAGATGGAAAATATTGTATATTAACCATTACACAAGTAAACAAGTTAACTATTCTGGCAGTGAAAAGTGATACTTTGGCAGATAGAGCTCAGCAACTAAATAGAGATTTGTTATTTGTTGGACCAAAGAACATTCTGAAAAGATAAAACGATAACGTAAACATCTCTGAAAAGTGACTAACAAGGGAAATTTGCAGCCTAGCTCCAGATTATAGCAGGTGCAAAGGAAAATATTTAATATCTGGAAATTTTAATTGGGTCGTAGCTGGGGTGATGCTAAATTACTTTAACTATGCACCATGTAACTGTAATCTACATATCTATTTTGATTGCATTTATTCACAGCATATGTGTTTCAAAGATTATGTATTGACAAATAGTGGCTATTTCTACACAGGATAAATATTTCAATGAAAACATTATCTCCTAACGCTTGATAAATTAAGATGACAACTCTGCATTCTAATATTCTCAATAAAACCACAAATCTACAGAACACAGTCAATGCAAGCCTACATAAGCAAGTTATGTTAAAGCGCTGCATAAAAAAAATTACAACTCTGGGCATGTCACCTGCAGATTAGTTTCTTGATAAAGATATCATAATTCTAAATTATCCTGTGGGAATGTCAGTGATCAAAGACACAAAATATATTAACTAGGAGTGAGAGCGCAGAACAGAAGCCCCCACAAAACTGCATCCATGTACAATATGAAAACATTAGAGTAGCGAATAATTGGATAGCTATAACCCAATTTGAGGTTTCAGGTACTAAATCATGTGTAACTTAATACTAATTTGTTATTTGGATAAATGGTAATACTACCTTGCAATCAATGACAGAGACAGAAGAACTAGTTGACTCATTATATCCCTTTATAAGATACTATGTAACCCATTGTAAAAAGTGTTTACTGGTGCACATAAGTTTAATAAAAAGTGCTTTCTAGATGACAATAGTGAAAAGCCCTTTAAAAGTTGCAATCCAATGCTAGAAAATAAATGTGAAGCAAGCAGGAAAAAATTACTTCCTATCATGCCAAATTGAGACACAGCATCTAACACTAGCTTCTTTACTGTACCACGGATATTTATATGAAGCAGTTTTTGAAATGATTTGTGTCTCATACTGAAGTTTCTAATTCTTAAAGAGAGAAAACAGTAAAATTGAACAATACCGTCCCTCAGAGAGGAAATGAAGTCTTGCTTCATTCAATTAAAACAGTAGGAGTGCAAGTGGGAAGCAATTCATTTGTGTAACGAGGAAAAGATTCCTCACAGCATGAATGTCAAGAACAAATGGAAAGCAGATAGACAACAACAGTGCAACAGATCACATACCCACACTGTCTTTTCCTGTCCATAACCAAGAAAAAAAAGGAACCTGATCAGAAAATCCACAACTTGCAAACCAGTTAGAGTGTCCCACTGACCAGAAATCCAAAAGCAGACCTGCTAACCTGTGCATTCAGCCACGGAACAGTGTGTGGTAACACAGGAAAAACAGTTTTCTTAATGGGGGATGACAGGAATATGTGGAGAGACGAACAACTTTATACAGATACCACTACATCACTTCTATTCAGCATTAGCACCATATGTATAAGATGTGAACTTCAAGTCACGTGAATATACAAATTAAGAATAGGAGTAGGTCAGTCACTCTTGCCTGCTCCACCATTTATCAAGATCACAGCTGATCTAATTGTGGCCTCTATGCTATACCCAATTTGTCGGTCAAGAATCTAACTCTAAATATTTAAGGCAACAATCCAGCCTCCATAGCTCTCTGGGGAAGAAAATTCACCTGATATAAATGACAGAGCCCTTGTTTTCAAACTGTATCCTCCAGTTCTACTCTCTCCCATGAGTACATATCCTTTCAGCACCAATCCTGTCAAGTCCCCTCAAGATCTTAAATATCTCAATTTTCGTTCTTTTGAACTTCAACAGATTCAGGCCCAAATTGTCTAACATTTATGAAGAAGATAAACCCCCTTCAGCCCAGGAATCAGGTGATAGAACTGACTCAGAGCGGTTTCTTATATATCCTTTCTTAAATGAGGAAAAGTATAGAGAGTATTCCCATGTGTGGTCTGACCAACACAGTACAATTGTAGCCAAATATCCCTACGTTTATATTCCAATCCCTTAGTAATAAACACTATTCATTTGCCTTACCTACCTAATTTTTCTAATCTTCCTTTCAAAAAAAGTGTACAAACTCAGTGTGACACATCATACTTCATCTTTTTGCCCACTTAAGTGTGTTTAAGTCCTTTTCATAGCTACCTCTGTTTTCAGAAGACTCAGCTATCATACATTCAGCCCCTTTACCCAAGTCATTGATATTGACTGTTAATAGTTGAAGCCCCCAGCACTGGTCCCTGTGGCATGCTATCATGCAAAGCCAAAAATTATACATTTGATCCTTCTGATTCCTGTTCACTTGCCAATCTTTTATTCATACTAAAATGTTAACCCCTCCACCACAAGCTCTTATTTTCAGTTTTATTCTTTGATGTGGCACCTGGTCAAACATTACAGATGTAACATATGTCAGCACAGCTGCTTTAATATTTTACAAATCTATGTGTATAAAGAAAAGATTGGATTGTGCTTTGTTAGTTGATGGGGGGGCATTGTACGTACAAATTTTAAACTTACTTTACTTTTTCACAAAACTACAGGCTTACAAGGCAAAATTCAGGTTTGGCTCTTGTCTTACAAGAGCAAGAGCAACAAAAATTAACTCTGACTCATGGGAGGAACAAATCCAATATCACAGAATCCCCACAGTGTAGAAGCAGGCCATTTGGC